GGAGGAGGAGGAGGAGGAGGAGGATGATACCCTGGGAGGTAGGTGGGGCTGAGAGAGTTCTGACAGAAACTGCTTTTTCAAGAACAGCTCTTATCAGAACTACGGCTTGCCCAAGGTCATCCAGCCAGGTGCAAGTGGAGGAGTGGGGAATCAAACCCGGTTCTCCCAGATTAGAGTCCGCGCACTTAACCACTGCACCAAACTGTAAGAAAAACACTTAAAAGGTTGGATGCACCATTGAAACTGCAATATTCTGAGCCAAGCCAAATTAGCCCAGGTCTCCTTTTGGAAGCCAGTGAGGTGCATGAAGAACAGCCTTGGATATGGGACAGGGTGAACCCGTATCAAATCCCCCGTGAGCCAAGAAGCTCACTGGGTGACTCCAGGCCGGTGAATGTCTCCAGGCCAGTGAATGTCTACCTAACCTACCTCACAGGGCTGTTGTGAGGACAAAATGGAGAAGAGGAGAATGATGTAAGCTGCTTTGGGTCCCCCATGAGGGAGAAGGACAGGGTATAAATGAAGAAAAGTAAAGAAATTTTACAGCAACCTTGTAAGATAGGTTAGGCTGAGGGGAAGTGATGGCTCCACAGCCACTCCATTTCTCCCTCACAAACCACATGAGGCAGGAACCAGGTCACCCAGTTCTCCCCAGCTTTATTTTATCCACAGATCCCTGAGTCGCTTGGGGGCAAAGATAACAATAAAGTATGCACATGATACCCAATCTGCAAATCTGTACCAAAGCCGCTAAAGCCCAGCCTATCTTTCCCGCTCAAGCCCTACAAGAATGAGTGAGAGCTGTGGAAGAATGTAAATGCGCTCTTGCGCGACGGCTGCTCATTTAAAAGGGCTTGCGCTCACCGTCCCACAGCATCTGCGATCCAAAGTCTTGCCTTCCGGTCCTCCCCTACTAAAAGAAGTGCTCCAAGCACACACAGGGCTCCTCCATCACATGCGCACAGCATTCGCCAGCGCATAAGAAGAGAGCAAGATGCCCCTTATAAGCACAATTCCACATGCACAGTGGTGCATTCATGATCGTGTGTCTTTGTTCCAGCACTGAATACTTGTAAGTAACACAGAAACTGGCAGCGCAAAGCAAATAAATAAATAGTAAATAAAGCCTGGACCTACCTGGCATTTCTTATCAGCTGTCGGAGAAGACCGGGATCGAACGTGCACAGGAACCCCTTGGCTATCTGATCTGTCCAGCAAGTCCTCTGCCGACGCTGATTTCCCAGGCTTCTTGGCATGAGCAAGCTTCTTCTCCGGAGCTTGGTTGTCACAGTACGTTTGGGTGCATACATCCAGTTGATCCGTCTGAGTGCCTTTAGTGAGGTCTGGATTCGCTCTGGGATCCTGACGCCGGTCTGTTTTCAGCCTACTGGGAAAGGAGCTGCTGCTGCTGTCGCTGTTATTAGGGGGGCCCTTTCTGTTCTCAATCCCACTGACATCGAAGCAGCCCATAAGCCCCGAAGGGGCGGCGCCAAGGCCACGCCCGGTTCTAGAGACCCGCTCTAGGGACTCCCTACGATGGTACAGATTCAGGTCCTGAAGAGAATTCATGCTGGAAGCTGATGAGAGAGACTGGCCGTCCGGAGCGCCTGTCTGCAGGAACGGGGTCTGGGAGCCCTCGTGGAGGACACTGGTGTCCTGTGAGGCGGAAGAAGGACGCTTCCCGGTCTTACGTTCAATGTAGTCAGCCAGGGCGTTTTGCTGCAACTGCTTCAGCTCCGGTTTGGAAAGATTGACGGTGGAGCAGGCCTTGTTCTCCCTCTCAAAGATCTTGCGTCGGTCGGCCACCGTGTTCTCTGGGAAAACAAAATGGAGGGCTTTCTTCTGGAGAGAGAAGGGGGAGAGCTCGCTGTCGGACACGCCCACTTCGTTCATCTTCTCCGGCTCAGAGTAAGACCTTTTCTTCTGCTCCGCAGTCAGGCGCTTCCTGCCCCCTATGCGGGACACCTGCAGAGGTCCAGGAAGGCCCTCCTGGTTGGCGTAACCCAACTTGGTCTCCGTTGGAGTGATGCTGTGTCTCTCCTTCGGGGTATGTGGAGATGCTGCCGCGCTCCTCACCCCGACGTGGGCTGAAGCCGGCCGATGGACACTCCTCTTGGCCTCATTTCCAAACAGAGGGCTGATGTTGAGGTCCTTGCGCCTGAAGGACGTGGCCCTCAAGACCCTCGACTGGGCATCTTTGATGCTGTTCCTGTAAGCCCTGTTAAAGGGGGTGTCCAGCTGCAATCCATTCAAGTCCTGGACATTCCCCTTCCACAAGATCTCCCTCTCAGGCTCTTCTATCAACTGGAATGTGCTTCTGCTCCGCTGCAGTTGCGGCGCCAGTTTCTGAGGCTCGTTTTCACCATGGTAGACGCTCTGCCGTGTTGGCACGGCTGCTACATCAGTTGTCGCTCCCATCTGTTGCTCCGCAGAATGCCAGCTCGCCCGCTCTGGCCTGATGACAGCTTTCTCACTTGGATATTGCATATGGGGGATCGATTCTGAGGCGGTACTGTTGCCCGGCTTGCAGTGTTCACCCAGCCACTGGCCATGCTCTTGGGAGTTACGCCTGTTTTGGATGTCCTCGATGGTATTAAGGTTGGGCTTGTTTGACACATAATTCTGGCCGAAATGGTTCACACTTGAACTCTGAGACCTCTGGCTGCCTTGTTCACGCTGCTCTATCTTGCTGACCTTCTCCAGAACAGAACAGCGGGCCTTTCTAGATTCCACTTTCCCATTCTGAGAGCTCTGGAAGCTTTGGGTGCTGCTCGAACTAAGCCGGCGAACACTGCAGTCTGATGTCTTTGGGTGCAACGGAGAAGGAAGTTCATCGTACTTTGGCTCTGCACTATGGGTCCGTTCGCGGGCGTGCCCCGTGCCGGCAAATCCGTCATGGTGTTTTTCCAAGGCCTGCCACTCTCTATCCTGCCAGTAGTCAGGGACCTGCCGATGATAGTCTCTCTCGGCTTGGCTGCCATTATTCACATTATGCCGTTTGGCATCCGAGCAGCTCCGGCATAGTTCCATCTCCCTTGGATCCGAGTTATTTTGCAATTTAGTACTCTCCGGGATGTTTTGCAAGGATGAAAAGCTATACTGTTTGGCCTTAATGGAGCTCCATTGGTTTTGTGCCGGGGAGTCTCGCTCACTTTTCTGTGACTTGGCAGTCCTCTCCTCCTGGCGCCCTCCTCCTCCGTAGCCCTTAGACTGGCAGACAGGTTTGCCGTCACTCCCATCCCTCAGGTGGGACAGCCACGGTTGAGAGTTGTGGTTCCCAGTCTGTGCATTTCTTGTGGTTTCCTGGATTATGGGTGTGGCCGTATATGAGGACCCTGACTCATCCTGTCTCGGAGGAGCTGGGTAGACTTGAGGATGAGTTCTGTATGAGGCAAACTTTGCAGCCGGGTCGCCCGCATCCTTCTTTTTCCCTGCCGTCAACGGCACGCATTCAGGATGGTAGAAGACCGCAGCCTTGTTAGGAATGCTTTGGTTTCCATTCTCATCCAAGCTAGAATGTTGACTGCAGGCTGCAGTCTTTTCGTAGCAGTCTGGGGAAGAAGAAGCAGGGGCCGGTGCGTACCCACGCTCTTTGGCAAGCGCTGGATAAACCATCCCAGTATTGCTTGCAGAAGGGTGAGGGATCTGGGCGAAATGCGGTTCAGGAGACGGTACGGGGTAAACACCAGTCGGAAGCAAATGCTGCCCCGGCTGAGCCGCCGGTGAATACAACTGCTTGGGCTTCATGGTGGGACTGGTCTCTGGGCTCTTTTCCATCACAGTGTGGAGCTGTCCTTCGAGGAATACAGATTTCTGGAGATGCCCCAGAGGAGAAGGAGTACCAGAGCCCAGGTGAGGCCAAACACCTTTAGAATGAGCCCTCGATGGCTTTCTGTGATCAACGCTAGACCAAGAGCTGGGCCTCTCGTGGTGCCTTGTTGCGGCGTAACTATCGCTACGGGTCGGCGGCATGGGAGGCCCTTTCACGTACTGGCTCTCGCTGTCGGACGAACTCCGGGTTTGCGGGCCTCGGCTGTAGCTGTGCAACCGGCTGGAGTTGTAACTTCTAGCCTGGGCCTCACCGCTGGGCAGAAGAGCAGAAGACTTCACCTCGTATTCCTCCGAAACCCCCCGCTGGGCATTGTAGACAGTTTTAATGTACCTAATATCAGCCTGTCGCATCCCCCCTTCCTGTGGTCTGACCCGGGAATGCACATTCTCCATGGAGTACGACCGTTCCTTGCAGAACATGGGTGCTGGATATTCGGGTATGCTGGAGCTGGTGGAGAAAGAGCTGTAGGCGGAGTCCCTCTTGCTGTGGAGATGGGAAAGCTGGTCGATACTATTGGTGGATTTGGTGGGTGACAGGTGGAAGGGCGGATGGGAGTACCCTGCGGGGGTATGGTCCAGACTCTCCATACTTCCTCTGGAGCTGTACTGGTCAGGGCTTCTTCTCAGGTAGCCATGGTCATAGCCGGAGAGGTCGCTGGTGGAGGAACTGCAGATGGGATTGAGAGAGAGAGAGAGAGAAGGAAAACCCTGTTAGTGTTAACGTGCGAGCGAGAGAGATCTGGACTGGCTTATAAGGGGACTCTGAGGGATATGTTTAGTTTTTAGAGGAACAGACGAAAACCCATATTTGGGCCTCGTTCTGTTCTTAGTGTGCAGTCATCTTGGTTTGGTAGGAGGAATTGCTCCACATTGCAACACTTGTCTCTTATTTATCACTCTGGAGGGAAGGGAAAAAATAGACGGAGGCCGGGAGCATTGGAGGCTTTGCAGGGAAGTCCAAGCATGTCTGCTCCACCCATGCGATCCATCAAAAACATCCTAAACATTACAAGAGGGGGGGGGGAAGGTCCAGGCGTTATGAAAGAGAGAAAGAGAGAGACGGAGGGAGTAAGAGAAGCTGGTAAGGGGAGAAGGAATTTGCTTCCTCTCTCCCTTCTTTCTTTCTTTTTTCCCCTTCTTTTCGTTTCTTTTCTTTTTATGGAGGTGAAGGCTACACCCTGGCAGTGTTCCTGGAAACTCGAACTGGACAGGAGACATTTTGTTTGCTGTGAGAAAACTAAACAGACACGACAGAGAAAGAGCGAGGGAGGGATGGAGAGGCAGAAAGCTCCCTAGTCTTAGTAAGACGCCAGCTGAGTCCCTCTAAGACCTTCCAGTGGGCAAAGCTGTACTTTCAAGGGGCTGAAAGGTCGCTACAGAAAGAACAGGGCAGCTCTTCTTGTTAAGAAAACTCTTGTTTTGGCAAAACAGCAATCCCCATCCATTTGTCATTCTAGTTGCTGCATGGATGGGAGGAAGCCGGCTTCTTGGGCTCTTTGACACTCTTTTTCCTCAGACAAACTGCTGAAGGTGGGTCAGTGGTTCACAGCTTTGGTTCACAGCTAGACACGGACCCAGCAAGTTGTCGGTTCAACTTCAAGGCCTAGTTCACTATCAGTCAAAAAGTGGCCAAGCTACTGTTGCTTAGCCTGAACTCACCATCTGTAAAAGGGTAAATAATATTTCCCTCACAAATCCACCACTCACTGATATCAGGCGGCATGAGAAATGCCCATACTTCCTGGTGTGCCTGAATGTTATTACAGACATGTATGGCAGTGATCAGGCCTTAAACCCGAGGCCTACAGTTGCTAAGAGCCCGGCCTAGAGTTACCAGCCCAGTGCTGGCATACAGGAGTCAGGTGGAGTTCTGATGATTGGCATTTTTACCACGGAGTTTCAGGTGAACCCTAGAGGTCACCCCAAGGCAGTGAAATCATTTCCAGGTTCATGCTAGAAGTGATATTGAGGTGTTGGCACAATACTGAACCCCTCCACCCCATCCCATTTTGTTTCCGCTGCTCCGCCAAGCAGTGCTGAGAGCAGAGGGATCTGGGGCAGGAGGTTTCTTGCTATAGTTGGCTACCTTAGCCCTGTCTGCTTCCCTTCCTCTCAGATAAACTGGAGAAAGTGTTAAGCAGGAAGGGCATACTATTGGGGTGCCAAAACGGACCCATTCTGAACCGTGCTAAAATTCCAGAAGCATCCGATTCAGAATGGGGCAAATACGGGAAGGATGAAGACATATGAGATGTAGAGCCAGATATGTCCCAAATCATGACTATTCATATCTACTGTTTTGACGCTGCAAATTCCAGGGATTTGGAGAGGACAATTTGAGATTCTTCATTTTTTGCGAAAGGACAATTTTTCTTTCTGCCAACTTCAGGGGAACCTTTCCCACCCTCAGAACAAAGCTCACTTTGGAGTCTTAAAAGCATTCTGAGGAACATTTATTTATTTTATTTATTGTATTGTATTTCTAACCTGCCCTCCACCGCAAGCGGGCTCCGGGCGGCTCTCTAGCAATATTAAATTGCCTCGACTCTTGGGCGTACAAAAGTTACAAAATGTATATACAATAAAAGTGAGAAATAAAATAGATTAAAAGGAAGCTGAGCCAGATGAGCCATTCGTCTGATCCAGCCAGGGCTCTTCTCAGGTTCTCATGCAACACTGCTAAAAGGGGAATGACGCTTATAATGCACCAAAGTGCACTAATAAACCTCTTACTGGTGCCTTTGGCTCCTCCTTCCCTTTGCCCAGTTCTTTAAGAATATTTGGCTGGTACAGTCTTTTCTTTTTGATGGGTGGATGGGAGCTGTCACACCTCATTCCAAAGAGACCCTCCTAGGTTCACGTTCAGAATTTGGGAACTGTTCTAGTGAGCTACTTGGGACTGTTTCTTCTCAGAAACTTCTTCAGGCACAGAAAAGAATGGAACAGAAAGGATATGTACCGTGGGCCTGTTCTAGTGAGCTACTTGGGACTGTTTCTTCTCAAAAACTTCTTCAGGCACAGAAAAGAATGGAACAGAAAGGATATGTACCATGTGACCGGGGCCTCAGTTTGATTATAGGTTTGATTATTATGAGGTAATCATACTAAAATCTTTGGTGCTCTTTGTGACTCTTGTCAAAGGCCAGGCTGCCTTCCGACTTTTATGATCTCTTCACGGATGGCTCCCAGCTGAAGGCCGATTTTCCCACACAAAGGGAAGGCCGAAGCCACAGCAAACTAATTATCCTTGGACAAATCCATTTCCTAGGTGAAGCAGAAGAATTAAGACAGAGAACAGGAAGGTAACCAGCAGGAAAGCGCAATGGCTTCAGCCAAGTTAAGTACAATCTATGTAGAGCAAGGTGGGGCGGCCATGTTGGTCTGAAGCAATAGAACAAAGTTAGAGTCCGGCGGCACCTTGAAGACCAACAAAGCTTTACTCAAGGTGTGAGCTTTCATGCGCATGCACACTTCGTCAGACAATGAAATGGAATTACAGATCATCATTTTTATAGAGAGGGCGGCTTGTTAAATCATAGATATACCAGAAACTAAGCTTGTCTTTTTTAAAGTTTTTTAAAAAATTTGATACATATAAAACAGACAATCAACATACAGCGTACAAACATAGAAACATGAAAACATTGGGGAAGGTTCATTATACCATTTTCTTAATCTGATAAAAAACATCTTCACTATTTTGCACTGCTGATTTAACATCTCCACTATTTTGCACGCTAATTTAGCAAGCCACCCTCCTCTATATACAACTATGATCTGTAATTCCATCTCACTGTCTGACAAAGTGTGTGTGCGCACGAAAGCTTACACCTTGAATAAAAACTTTTCTGCTCTTAAAGATGCCACTGTAACTTCGCTCTACAATCTCTGTAGCAGCTTTTATGAAAGGGATTGCATGGAGTGTTTTCCATTTTAATTTTAGACCAAGCATGGCTATTAGCCACTTTTGTCTACTTCAGCAGAATTAGCCACTTTTCCTGTTCAATAAAAAAAGAGTTCACTTTCTCAGCTGTTTCTGCTCTTTGCTGTCTTTGTAAGTGAGAAGTGGATGAATAATCTCAATCTTTGACACTCTGACCCCTTTTGACAGGCTCCAGACCTAGTATTTTACCAGCATTCGTGGACACCAACCAGCCTTTCTATCTAGGAGTCTGGCAACGTGTCCACTAGGTGCCACTGGTATCCCTCCATGAGGAAACACCTGGCCGGGCTGCATCTTTGCCAGCACAGACTGGGCAGACACAGCGCAATCTGGGGATTGCAGTTCTCTGCCAGGTCATCAGCGTCGCCTCTGTGGCAAAGCTCCCTAGGATGAAATGAATGCTTTTGCCAGATGATTTGTGCTGGGTGTCAGGGGAGACAGAACACACGTCTCTCTGCTGCAAGGGTTTCTTTTCTTTTCTTTTTGTAACCCTAGAGTCTCTTCCTGCTTTCCCATCCCATGGCTCTTTTGATCTCAATAAATTACTCTTTTAATCTCCATAAATTACTAGCGGTGCCAGTATTTAGGTTTCACAGAGGGGCTTGAAATTCCAGTGGCTATGTTAGGGGCGGGGGACCGCCAATCGCCTTGTGCTGAAACTCTGAATCTGCGGGGAAAATGAAAGATGTGCCAAGCGACAGAGGATTTGTCTACGCATACAGAAGAAGTCACAGAAACATCCTTAACTCTTTCCAGCTGTATCGTGTTTCTGTCTCCTGAGTTTCTAAATATTTGCCTAAAAATTGGAAACACCATGTAGCAAGCAGGCAGGAACACTGGAGTTTCTAAAAAATCGGTTCTATGTGAAGAACTGATCCTATGCCCTAACCTGGATAGCCCAGGCTAGCCTGACCTTGTCAGAGCTCGGAAGTTAAGCAGGCTCAGCCCCGGTTAGTACTTGGATGGGAGACCACCAAGGAAGTCCAAGGTTGCTGTGCAGAGGCAGGCAATGGCAAACCACCTCTGTTAGACTCTTGCCTTCAGGGTCGCCACACATCAACTGCGATTTGATGGCAAAAAAAGAAAAAATTGTAAAGAAAAGTAGGATTCTGCAACACGCATGGAGTAGATCTGTAGCAACTGGCAGAACCAGAATACATGAAGCAAACAGAAGACATTTTAACAACGTATTATTATGACTGCAGAATTCTCGGTGCAGAATTCCGCTGCCGTTGTTGTTTCTTTACAGCAAAATACACACACCCCTGGGGAGCTGCGGTGGCTCAAGTGGTTAAGACGCTGAACTGCAGGCTGTGGAAGGTCAGTAGTTCAGCAGTTCAAGACCCGGGTTGCCACATGACGGAGCGAGCTCCCGTCTCTAGTTCCAGCTCCTGCCAACCTAGCAGTTCGAAAGCAAGAAATTTGCAAGGAGATAAATAGGGACCACTTCGGTGGGAAGGTAACAGCGTTCCGTGCGCCTTGGTGTTTAGTCATGCCGGCCACATGACCACGGAAACGTCTTCAGACAGCGCTGGCTCTTCGGCTTTGAAACGGAGATGAGCACCGCAACTCTAGAGTCGGATTCGACTGGCTTTCCAGCAAGGGAACCTTTACCTTTACCTTTATACACACCCCTGCTTATACAGCGAGCAGCTGCACCAGAGGCCTGGGCCGAGAACCAATCAAGGCCTGCAGAATCCTTCAGTCCGCAGAGAAATTTGGGCAAAGCTCAGTGCTTGATGACAGAGGAAGCTGCTTTGTACTGAATCAGACTGTCGGTCCATCAGTACGGGAAAGCTCTTTCACATCTGGTCCTTTGAAATGGGAGATGCCGGGGACTGAACATGGGACCTTCTGCATGCCAAGCATATGCTCGACCACTGAGCCATGGCCCCTCCCAAAAATGTAGTTTCTAGCCCTTCTACTAGTGAACATACAAAGTTGCCTTATACTGAATGAGGTCAGTCTTGTCTACTCAGACTGGAGAAGCTCTCCAGGGTCTCAGGCAGAAGGTCTTTCGTATCACCTACAAGTTCTTTACTGGAGATACTGTGGATTGAGAACCTAAAAACAGAATTTTGTTGTTGTTCAGTCACACAGTCGAGTCTGACTCTTCGCGACCCCATGGACCAGATCACGCCAGGCCTTCTGGTCTTCCGCCGTCCTCTGAAGTTGGCTCAATTTCATGTTTGTTGCATCGATGACACTGTCCAACCATCTCATCCTTTGCCGTCCCCGTCTTCTTTGACCTTCAATCTTTTCAGCATCAGGGTCTTCTCCAGTGAGTGCTCCCTTCTCATTGGGTGGCCAAAGTATTTGAGCTTCGGTTTCATGATCTGGCCTTCCTGGGAACAGTCAGGGTTGATTTCTTTTAGGATTGACTGATTTGATCTTCTTGCAGTCCAAGGGACTCTCAAGAGTCTTCTCCAGCACCATAGTTCAAAAGAATCTATTCTGCGGCGCTCGGCCTTCCTTATAGTCCAACTCTCGCAGCCATACATGACTACTGGGAATACCATTGCTTTGACCATGCGGACTTTTGTTGGCAGGGTGATGTCTCTACTTTTTATCATGCTGTTTACGGCCAAATAGAGGGCCCCCCCCCCCCCCCCCAACAATTTATATAGTATAAAAAGACACATGCATTTATTAACAAAGAATTTAAAAACACATAAGGGCCCAATCACACCTCTTGTAAAAATGCCAAAATTTAGCACATAAGGGCCAGTGGACTTGACCTAAGGCAGAGGTCTTTCATATCACCTACAACCTGATTTCTTTACTGGAGATGCCAGGGATTGAACCTGGGACTTTCCGCATGTCAAGCAGATGCTCTAAGTCTGAGCCACGGCCCCTCCCCAGTGCAGTTGTCTTATAATTAACCAGACCTTTGATGCATCAAGGCCAGTCTTGTCTACACATACTGGCAGCGGCTCTGCAGGGTAGGGGTCTGTCACATCACCTCCTGCCTGGGTCCTTTTAACCAGAGATGCCAGGGATTGACCCTGGGACCTTCTGCGTGCAAAGGAGAGGCTCTTCCACTGAGCCACGGCCCCCTCCCCAAATGACTGTGGCACCTGTCTGCATCCCTAATGGGAAAGTCCAGCACTTGGCAGGTACTTTTCAATGTGATGGATGAACACAGCAGATTCTTGCTCGGCGACAGAGAAGGAACTTATTATGGCTGGCAGAGAAAGTGAGAATCATTCTCCTTCCTGGAACGGGAAACATACCCTTGCACTGATTTCCAAAGGGAAGCTTGGGGCCAAGGTGTTGCGAGGCTTACCTGGAATGGTAGGCTTGGTGCCAAGGAGTGCCAATCATGCCCTGAGATATTTGCATCATACTGAGATCGGGGGGGTTCTCTGCAACCTTGGCAGAATGCCAAGAGTGTGGTCGCCCCCCGGGATCGCTCCGTCTGGAAAGAAAACAAAGAGATAAAGCAATTAGAGGCGGCCTCTGTCCTAGATACACTGGTAGGTGGAACAACGGACAGGCGACTGTTATATAACATTGTGATTGTTGTAACCATGTGCCATTCAGAACAGAGGTGTCACAGTTTCTTTCCTGTTGCTTATTCCATTTCAATCTGCCACTGTTCGCAGGCAGAGCTCACCAGGACAGACTCTTGAACTCCATCAATGACTTCTTTTCCTGGTCCTGATGCATGGGAACATTTGAGTCCCAAACATTCAGAACGCCATTACATTTATTCTCATTATGCTGCCAATCTGGCAAATTTAAAGACGGTGCCATTTTAACGGGTGGGTCAAGAAGACCCAGAAGAAGGGTATGCTTTAAGAACATAAGAGAAGCCAATGTTGGATCAGGCCAGTGGCCCATCCAGTCCAACACTCTGTATCACACAGTGTCCAAAACTCAGGTGCCATAAGGAGGTCCAGTAGCAGGGCCAGAACTCCAGAAGCTCTCCCACTGTCGCCCCCCAAGCACCAAGAATACAGAGCACCACTGCCCTAGACAGAGTGTTCCATCTATACCCGATGGCTAATAGCCACTAAGAACAAAAGAGAAGCCACGTTGGATCAGGCCAATGGCCCATCCAGTCCAACACACTGTGTCACACAGTGGTGAAAAACCCAGGTGCCATCAGGAGGTCCACCAGTAGGGCCAGGACACTAGAAACCCTCCCACTGTTGCCCCCCCCCAAGCACCAAGAAGACAGAGCATCAGTTGCCCCAGACACAGAGTCCACCTTCTAAAGCAGCCATTTTCTCCAGGTGAAAGCATCCCTTGCCCCAGACTGAGAGTTCCTATCTATACTTTGTGGCTAATAGTCACTGATGGACCTCTGCTATGACCTATATTGGAACCTACCAGTGACATTATCGTATTTAAAGAATCTACTCTAAAGTGTATTTGTTCTTCTGGGAAAGAGAGCGTGACCAGGCACAGATGGAATCAGACTTCTGGATGGGATGCTGAGTTATCTGCAGCAGCAAAATAAAACAGCTGTCCAGCGGCACACCTCGAGCGTGTTTCATGAGACAGAGCCGAGGTGCACATCCATCATATTAATTCGTATACACGATAGAAAGGTGGAAGGAGAGAGATGGTACAAACAGAGGTCTATTTAAAACACCGTTCAATCCAAACAGGAATCAGTTCCGAAGAAGCGAACAGCGACTCGCACAAAAGCTCCTCCCCTGCCACAAATTTTGTTAGTTTTTAAGGCGCTACTGGACTCCGGCTCTCTTCTCCTGCTACAGACAAACAGGGCTTACCCATCTTGACCCAGCTCATTCCGAGTGGGTGTGGGCCACTCCCACGTGTTGTTAGACAAGCAAAGGAGGATTAACGTAGAATCTAGTGCAGGATGAACAAGATAAGCAGATCCAATACAAAGTAACAGAAGGAGGAACTAGTTACCCTCTGTAAGTGGTGGGCTATGTACCTATGTACTTAAGCGCCCATCAAGTCGCAACCAACTTATGGCTACCCATCATGGGGGTGTTCAAGGTAAGAGATGGGTTTGCCATTTCCTTCCTCTGCCTAGCAACCCCCATCTTCCTTAGCGGACTCCCATGTAAGTATTAACCATGGCTAACACTACTTAGCTTCCAAATTCTGACAAGCTCAGGCTGGTCTGGGCTATTCAGGCTGCTATGCACCTAGAGTGAATGATGAATCCAGAGTTGTCATTAAGGAGGAGGGGGGGAACACTCTTGAACTTATGAATGAATTCTGTTTTCGCAATTCTGTGTTGGACTCTCTCTTTGAAGTTCTTTCATAGGAGAGCAGCAAGTTTCAAATCATCAGCTGGATGCCTCCTGAGATTAAAATGTTCACCTAGTGGTTTCTGAACATTCTGACGTTTCATGGCAGAATTGTGTCTATCTGTGAGCGTGTGTGTAGCGACTGACTTATTTGTCCGATAAAGACAGCAGAAGGGCACTGTGGATACACGGTGGCATAGATTACACTGGAGTATGAGCGAGGGGATGAGTCAGAGATGGTATAGCTGATCTTATTAGGTCCTGTCATTATGTCACTTGAGTGTATGTGAGGACAAAGTTAGCATCTAAGGTCTGTCTTGGGGTGGGGGGGGGGGAGAAGAGGAGGAGGAGGAGGAGGAGTTATTCCAGGCAAGAGAGAACAGAGGTGGTGGTTTGCCATTGCCTTCTTCCATGCAGCAGCTCCTGTCTTCCGTGGTGGTCTCCAATGCTCCCTCTAAACTGCGGAGTCTTGTGAGCAAAAATTCTACTTGGTGAGCTACCGGCATTAAAGTTGTGAGCAAGCGTTTTCGCTGCTGCATCAAGTAGTTTGCTCTGGAGCCCTCCTTCCTGAGCTAGGACAAAAAGGTGTGAGCCGGAGGCTAAAAAACTGTGAACTAGCTCACACTAACTCAGCTAAGAGGGAACACTGGTGGTCTCCCAAGAAAGTACTAACTGTGGCCTACCCTGTTTAGCTTCCAAATTGTGGTTAAGCTGGGCTGGCCCTTTGAAACCAATTCGCATGGTTAAGGAAAATTAAATCAGAAGCAGACCATTTCTGGTTATGCACTTCACAACAGTCCATCCTGAAAGTTTGGCAGACGTCGCTTCTCTTATTTTTTGCATGACACGTTGACCTTACTCCAAACCCCTTTTCTACACCATCTGTCTTTGCATAGGAAGCTAAAGAGAGTAGCAGACACATATGATAAAAAAATATTTAAATATTACAGTCTGGGGGAACGGGTGGATCTGAAAATAAACTCAGGACTGCCGCTGTAAAAAACTATACAGGAGGAGACGCGGGAGAGGCAGCATGTACATTTCAAAATAAATAATAAAGAAGTTACTCACTGTTTGTTTTTTCGAGGATTCCTAAATGTCACACTACTTTAATCGTTCCAATGCACCAAAATGCCTCGAAAGAATTGCCAGAATGCCAAGAGAAATAAATTAAAGGCTCACAGCAGCTCAAAATTACTAATCTACAGAGGAGGTTGCCCACTGCGTCTCTGAATGATTCCATGGTCTGGCTTTGCTTTCTTCCAGTCGGCTTCTGCTGGGGGGTGAGTAACTCTCCCGTGTTTTAGCACCAGGCAGAGTCAGAAGATTCAGGAACATATGAGAACAGCAACTCACAGAGAAATACAATGAATAGACTCCTGAGAGGGCAGGCACTTTATATTCTTGCATAGTCTAAAAACTGGCCTCTTGGGATGTATGAGTGAAGTGTGCCTTCTATTTTAAATCGGGGGGGGAAACGGAGCCGTGGCTATCACAATTTTGAGAAATGGAGCTCTTCTGGTTTCATTTGCCCGCATGAATGCCGCCGAAACCACAGAATTCACTTACATTGCCCCCTCAGTCTGTGAACCGAATTTTATCAGCAAGCAGGGCCTTCCGCAGATGCCACCCCGCAAATGGGCAAAATTGACAACTGCCCAACACAGTGCCTTCTCTGTTGTGGCCCTGCCTTATGGAATGGCTTGCCTGAAGAGGTCAGGAAGGATTAACACATGGAACTCACTGCCACAGGAGGTGGCGGCGGCGGCTACAAGCATGGACGGCTTCAAGAGGGAATTAGATAAACCTATGGCGCAGAGGTCCATCAGTGGCTATTAGCCCCAAGGTATAGGTAGGAACTCTCTGTCTGGGGCAAGTGATGCTCTGTATTCTTGGTGCTGGGGGGGGAGGCCTTCTGGAGTTCTGGCCCTGCTGGTGGACCTCCTGATGGCACCTGGGTTTTGGCCACTGGGTGACACAGTGTGTTGGACTGGATGGGCCATCGGCTTCTCTCATGTTCTTATATTCTTACGCTCCCAGCTTCCCGGATTTCCGCAAACTATGCACACCTGAATTATACAAGAGGGCTTTTCTGCACAGGTAATAGGGTTTGCACTGTACAAAATGGTTCACAAACTTACTTGGAAAGACGATTACGGACTGTGGCCTATACTACTGCATATATCTTACTGTAAGCAGGATCTTATTATGTAATTTTTGCACCGCTTAATGTGTCATAAATACTCATGCTAGGGCTTCAGTTCCTAACTTTTGGATTTCTGGCTGGTTCCAGACTTCCACAATCCTAATCCTATTGCACTGCTTACTGAGTATTTCCATTCTGTGTAATCTGCCTTGAATCTCTGCGAGAAAGGTAAACCATAAATAATAAACACACAAAGACAGACCGAGGAAATCAAATAGTGCAGGTGGGTTGTCCTTTAAAAGGACCCTTTTGTTTCTGCTTTGCAGAGAAAGCAAGGAAACTGAATGCTGTAAGCTCCGAGGCGGCAGAGAGAATGGGATTTAACTGCAAGTCACAGCATTGGGAAAGACCCTCAAGATATCACCTTGTCGAACATGGAGGCCTGAGGAATTTACAGGATCTCTTTGTAGTACTGGTAGGAACCCGAACCTAGGACATTCCCATTGTTTGACAGAAATAAAGCACGCTCTCCAGTGAAGCCTCCAGCGACAGACTGGACAGAGGAGTCACTGTGCCTGTTTTTTAAAAAGCCAGTAATATTTTAAACGCACTTCAGCGCCCCAGAACAGACAGATGAGTAAAGAAGGAAGCAGGGCGCACCTGATCCAAAAGACAAACACAAATAGCGTGCTTGGAGGGGAGTGGGGTGTGTGGGTCGTGTCCATAACCTGCCTCTGCTCGGAAAATGCGGATTAAAGGTAATGGCATTACAGCAGGGATTTAAAATCGCCAACGGCTTCTTCTTCCTCCAGCAAAGGTTTGCATGGTGCTTTTCTGAGTCGGTGTGGGTGGATGGGGGAAGTTGCCCGGGGATCACCTAGGCATGTGATTCACACCCTGAACCAGCATTTTATCAACTGTGAGTGGAAAGGCATTTGGTGACTTCAAAAAGGGAGGCTGGGCAGTCCTGGACAGGGGGCGATTCTCCACTGGCTCTTCCCTCCATTGTTTTACCAAACCCACCTTGGAACAGAAATT